GTCCAATGCTGTACATCACCTCAATGGGGACATCATGCGTTTTGACGTGCTGGTTCACTCATGTGATGATCTCCTTAACAGTGACAGCTACGAGCGTCTATTGAGACTTTGTGCCTCCGGCTTGGTGGCATATGCAGGTGCATCACCGGCATGCTGTGAGTACAGCCGACTTAAACTTCTTCCCCATGGACCCCCTGCATTGCGTACCCCATCTCATATGCAAGGCGTTCCAGGCATTTCAGGTCCGGATTTGCAAAAGGTTCAAGACAGTTACGTTATGTTAGAAAGATGTATCAACTGTTTGAATCTCACCATCGCTTCTGGAGGTCACGGCCACCTTGAGCAACCCAAATCGGCCATGAGCTGGGATGAGCCAATCGTCCAGCAATACATCAAACAAAATGCCGCGTGTTGCATCTCCATGGCGGCGTGTGGCTACGGTCGGGATTGGCATAAATTCTGGCTGTTTGCCAGCACATACAGGGCTTTAGCAAAGATGGCCTGCGCATGCTCCCACCCTGCAGGCAGCCACCAGCAAATAGCTGGTGTCCGAACATCCACTGGCCACTACCTGAGTCGTGCAACGGCGGAATATCCTAGCGAATTAGCCCAACAATTTGCACAGATCATCATGCCACTCTTGTCAGACAACGGCAAAGAGCTGACTTTGTCATCCTATGAAGAGTATCTCCCAATCAAAAAAGTATCCGAACCCCCCTTTTCACGGCAGGATGGGGCTGGATTTGTTTCCCAAAGCGATTGGAGTGGTGCTCATGGTTTCGATGATTCATTTCAGGTCTTGCGTAAAAACTTTTTCCGTGAAATCATGTCCCAACGACTTGACCTTCAAGTATTGAAAGCATTCCGGGATCGACAGTCAGATCCGCCGTTCACTCAGGAACAACTGAAGCCGTTTAAAATGTTTGTAGAGGAATTTCTCCTGGCTCAAGGGTTTCAACCAGATTGGTCGATCCCCTCTGACCAACAGCTCTGTTTGCATGTTCTGCAACGGTTGTGCCAATGCATGCAAGATCCAGATACGGCATTGTTTCCATATCTCATAAATGGGGTACCATTGGGGATCAATGAAACGATTACCCCCTCAGGATGTTTTCCCATAAATCAACCTGAAGCCCCTTTTGATCCTCCATTGCTGTCGCTCCATCATACCAATTGGCAATCAGCTGAAGACGAACCCACAGTTGTGCAAGAGCTCATTGACAAGGAGATCGATGCAGGCTGGGTTGCCGAATTTCAAGGAACCATCGAGGAGGCGCAAGCCTTTTTTCCAGACGGTTTAGCCATCGGTAAATTAGGTTTGGCCTTAAGTGACTCTAGACCCCCCCGATTAGTCCTTGATTCCACAATTTGTGGAGTAAACCCCCAAAGCCAGATCCCCGAGAAGGCATCCCTCCCAACCGCACGGGATGTCATTCGAGCATACCCACTAAGACAAACTAATAAATCCATGTCAGGTGTATCATTCGACGTAAAAAGCGCCCACAAACAAATGGCGGTACATCCCCGGTATCGGGGGTTGCTTTGCTTTCAATTCAAAGGACGTATCTTTTATTATAAAGTGTGCCCTTTCGGCGCTGTGGTTAGCGCACACTTCTGGTCCAGATTGGGCGGGGTGTTTCAAAGACTTTTCCACCGAATGATATATTTACCTCATGCGTCATTCCTGTACGTTGATGACATGTTGATGTTTCAGGAATCTTCCATCATTGGACTGAGCGCGGCAGTTATAGCAGTGCTTTGCATGCTGACCAGATTGCCCATCTCTTGGAAGAAATGTGAAATCGGACCCGTAATCATGTGGATCGGTTGGGAATTCCATATCAGGTCAGGTTTTATTGTTCTTCCTGTGTCCAAACGGGACAAACTGATTACCTTGTTGGAAAAACTCCAGTCGTCTTCTCACTGCTCCAAAAAAACATTAGAGAAATTTCTGGGGTTAGCTTTGTGGGCCACCCAACTTTGGCCTGCCATGCGCACTTGGCTGCATTACTTGTATCGTGATTTGCATGCCATTCCAGCCAGTCAATTTTCAGTCGACCCCGGAAGTTGGGAAGAAGTATGTTCATGCGTTTCAGATGACCTAATTTTTGTGCGAAAACCACCCTTCACAGCGATCCCTATTCAAGGACATTTAATTCAAGTAAGACACCAACCAGTCACCAATAAATCAGATTTGTTCGCTTGTTCTTTATCTGATAAAAGGGTTTGGCTTCGCATTCGAGATCCGAACTCCTCCAAGCGCAAATTATCCACTTCATCTCAACGAATTCTTTCCATGTATGTTACATGGTTAAATCACCTTCCACCAGTTCGCACTATGTGGCCCAAACAACAATGGACTGGCCTATGCGTGGCTGACGCATTCGCTTCCGGCACCCAAAGCGGGATTGGTGGCGCTATTGTTTTTCCTTCTGGACAATGTTCCTGGTTTAGTCTTCCTATTAATCATGATGATTTTAAATCACTCCACATCCCAGTCCACGATAACTTACAAAAAGACATCACTAGCCTGGAGACCCTTGCACAGATTGCATTGGTGTATATCACCATACAATTTTTCCCTGGTTCCAGAATACCGATTCGGATTCCCACTTTATCAGATAACACCACTGCTGAAGCTACTTCCAATAAACTTTTCTCAACATCGATGCCGATTGCACTGTTCTTGGAAAAACTTAGCCTTCTCATATCCAGCTCATGTATTGAAGTTGACGTATCTCACATTCCAGGCCACAATAATGATTGCGCAGACGCCCTGAGCCGATGGGATGGTGTTGGCCAACCACCCCATCATTTTCTCCTACACGACAGATATCCATTGACCTTGTCGCAACGCTGGAACTTGGACACCCGTCCACAACTGTTCCCACCAGATACGCAGCTTCCCTGGCAGTTTCCAACATGACCTATTCGATATACCTCCGAAATCCTTGTTTCATTGCTGGATAATTCCACTATTTTTAAGTGGGGAATTTTGTTGGCGGACTTATCCATCAAGTGTTAATAGCTTCGTTAGGGGTGCGTGATATATCCATTAACACAGATGGATCGAACTCACCATAAACATGTGGTGACAGACCAATAAACAATCCAGCAATGAAAAAAGGAATAAATTAAAAGCGCGAGTGAATGCATGGAAGGGAGATTCAAGTCAACAGTTGAAAACTTTTGTATTAATTAGAAATTCCTTGCGTTTATTTACTTATGAGTATATACATATATATATATATATGTATGCGTGTATCCAGCTTTTGCTTTGTTGGTTATATCTACTTGTATGTGATATAACTGTAATGTAATGAATGTCCACCTTGAACGTCAACTGTACTTGTTCAGTTATGTTTAGTGGGGTACTTCATTATATATATAATATCCCCTAAACATTTTGGCCCAAGGTGGCATTCATTGCATTATGCAAATACGTATGTGCTTTAAAACTTTTTGCCCTCCCTCCACATCCCTGAGTTTCACTTCTATATGTATATAGGTTTGATCCGCTTCCAGCATGTGGATACCTTTCCCATGCTATCATCCGTTGCCTCCTGATTGCATACGAGCATCCGAACCCCAATCTCCTCCAAGGAGTTTGTTTGCCTGCGTCCATTCATTCCATATCGACTGCGAACATCCGTGACCACATCCGATGTACAGAGATACATCATTGCCAGATATCTATGTTTCACTGCGTGATTCTGCTTAATGCACGCTTGCGCATCTCCGGCTCTCATTTGCGTGGTTTCTTTTCAGATGATTGGTGATGTGCTTGAAATTTGTTTTTACGGTTTTATTTTAACCTATTTTTCACCAATCATATGCGTGTTTGCTTCTGTTGCTTGTTGTTGATTTGTACGTATTATCATCAATCAATCCTCCTCAGATACTCTGACGGGGGTGCGTGATATATCCATTAACACAGATGGATCGAACTCACCATAAACATGTGGTGACAGACCAATAAACAATCCAGCAATGAAAAAGGAATAAATTAAAAGCGCGAGTGAATGCATGGAAGGGAGATTCAAGTCAACAGTTGAAAACTTTTGTATTAATTAGAAATTCCTTGCGTTTATTTACTTATGAGTATATACATATATATATATGTATGCGTGTATCCAGCTTTTGCTTTGTTGGTTATATCTACTTGTATGTGATATAACTGTAATGTAATGAATGTCCACCTTGAACAACTTTAAGTGAATTTGCTTCGGCTGAGAGAATAATGGGATTATAACAATAGCTTTCATTATTATGATGTTATGACCCTTGAATGTCGTGGAATAAGGATAATATACCAAGAGAATGGCTTATTGCGTGGTCATTATTAAGACATGATGGTATGCTGCGTGACGCTCTTAGTTTACAACATTCGCATCTGTATCTAAGATCAATTTAACATCCGATGTTTCAAAAATACATCGTCATTTGACGCTGGCTTTATGACAATTTGATTCCCATAATGTGAATAAACATCATATTTCCTGATATCCTGTTGGTTTCTTCTATGAATGCAAAACATGCCCCTCAAGATCCTGAAAGGGAGGTCCGTTATCATTGGGCCGCGATTGGGGCCAGGATGTGAATACCAAATTGGCACGCTTCATTCATTGTCCTTGTGTGCAAATTATTTTTGGGCGCCGCACCGAAAACATTCCCAACATAATCAACAAAATAAACCCCCATTCAAATTAAGAAACTTTTGAAATGATGACAGCGCTTTGCGGCTGGGTTGCTCCACAACAAACTGGTGCCAAAGTCAATCGACTATGTTTAGAAAGTGATCTGTTTCAACCGCTTAAAAGTCTTCTTGCAGAACTTACATCCCCTCTTTTATTTTCCGGTTAATTTTCAGCCACAACTTTAAGAACATTGATTCCCACAACTTGGTATTGGATGCTGTCGGGTGCAAAAAGCTTATGAAAGTCTAAAAATGCAAGCGGATCATCCCCAAAGCCAAAACACGTTGAAATGAACCAAGGGACCACGCCCTCACAGTGTCAATCTTCCGAACACTCTTGATGGGTTCATGTGGTCTCACTGATGGCTTGGCCAACCAAGTTTCCAAAGCACGAACGAAAGCTGACGGACTGTGGAGCTCTGTGGAACTTTCAAGCATGTTCCCCACTTGTGAAAAAAACTGATCAATGTCCTCGTGCGAGTGGCCAGTCATAAGGTGGCGGCTTTCGAAGCGCGCCACCTTATGACTGGCCGTTAGCAGGGCTCCCATGCGGATAAGGCAATTATTTTTCCACTCCCTGCAACAGTTGTCAGTTTGTAAAAGGACCTCGCATGATCGAAGGTCAGTGCCTTGTTCCATCAGTGAATGCAATGCATGTAAGAGAAGATCAGTGCAGAAACTTGAATCTTTTCTCACCCATGATTGTGACATCCCCAGCAGCAAAAAATGTCCGTGGCAGATCAGACATGTCAAGTCCATGGTTGGCCGTATGTACGACCCGAATTCCTTACTCAGAAAAACTTTCGACCGCGGCCACCTGAACTTGTTGTGGTCGATGCTGTCAGCCACTATGCTGATGGTGCGATTCCCAGTGGGTGTCAGGGGCAATCGTGACATGGCACGACTTGCCCAATAGACCGTTCTGTCAGAGTATTGTGTGGCCAAATGTTTTTGAAACATTGCCACTTGATGATCTCGCGCCACCTGATCGTTGCTCAGCTTCTTGATCAACATCTTTGCTCTCGTACAAGTAGCACACTGCGCATGGTTTGATGCTTCTCGGATCGCAAGACGTGTCCCAAAGGAATGCGACCAAACCTGGTCACAAGAGGACACAGCCTTTAAAACAATAACATTGTAACGGCCACTCAGAATCACATCTTAAACTTCAACTAAGTGCTTGTTAGGCACAAATCACAAAACCACTCCAACTAGAATTTCACGCTTAAGCACTTTGGTGAACAGTTTCAGCGACAGTTTCTCTTCAGGGTATCGGGCCCTAAGAAGAGACAGGTAGTCATTGAAGCTTCCAGGTGGTAACAGCCGCAACTCGGTTTGATCTTTGCCTCGGTGCCACAAGCCCGCAGCTCGTGGACGTCGCCCCCGGTTTCTCCGAAAGCGCATGTTCCGTGGGACAGATTCAGCGCCCGCATCAGCACTGGACTGCCTCAAACTCTGACTTGCTTCAGGCATGGGTTCTGACAGTGTGTGATACAGTTCTGTCAAGAAGCTGGTGATCATGGAGCGCTTCGTGACAGATGCCTTGTTTTTGGTGAGCAAAGGTTTTTTCAAGCATCTTCCATCCAATGGGACAGGGGCCCCAGTGACAGCTGCACGTTTCAGCCGCGCATACCTTGAAGCCCCGATTCCCAGGAGCCGGCGAAATGCATCTTGACAAACAAGCCGGTTCAAGACCACCTGCTGTTTTCCGGACTTGTCATCCGGGAGCTGTTTCAGCAAATCAACGATCTGGCAGGGGCATGCACTGGGACTCTGAGTCTTTCAAGTCTGAGAAAACATTCGAGTGTTGCTAGGATTCCGGGTCTATGTCGAAATAAAAAGTTAATATAGCTATAACATTCAGTTTGGCACCGTCCGCCTGACAATCTGCATCATGCTTGGACAGCTTCTGCATCTTCAAGACTAGCTGAAACACACTTTCCATCCCCCCACTACCAAACTTCTTGAAGCAACTCTTCGCTGATGAGCGCCTAGCTTGGCGAGCACAACCACACAGTGCGTTGCTTAGCTTTCCCAGTCTGGCCCGGACAGCGGATGGGGCAAGACCATTGGACTTAGAATTTGACCTTTTCAGCTGGGGTCGACATTCTTCTCTGAGATTGCTCCCCACATTGCCGTCTTCTGCTATGCATTCATCATCCGACAGAACTGCAATCTGGCGGTTGCATGGCATGAGAAGATTGCGAACAAGAAAGTCTGCAGAAGGACTTAAAGCTTTAAGTTTTGAGCAACTTCTCTTCTAGCATGGAATGCTTCCATGTCGTTGTTGAATAATATTCTCCCTCTCGCCTGCAACTTAATTGCAAATGCTTGTCATTTGTCACTGTTTGGAATCCTCCGAGATTCGAGAAGGGCAGTGGCAGCTGGCAGATCATGGTCCGAAAAAAACCGGTTTTGGTTTTTGATTTCCATCCGAACAATCCAAAATGCAACGCGAAGAAACAAGGCAACTGGCTCGAATCTTTTGACCTCAGGGCCTGTACTGAGCGTTGAGAAATTGCAACGCGCAGGGACAGAAATAACTTAATTGGAGTAAATTGGGGCGTGGGCACAACAACTAGAAGTCGTGCTGGAAACCAAGCTACAGCTCAAGGCTGTGCGTGCTCTTCAGGCGCTTCAGGGCGATGGCCGTTGCTTTATTCACACCTGAACAGCACTGACAAGCATTGCTCATGAAATGACAAAACAATGTCAATGCAAATATGACAAAATCATTCCGATTGCCCCCACCTGACACCATGGCTGAAAAGGATCGCTTGAGAGGGCCAACTTGAGGCTGGGATTGACGTCCTGCAGGCTACCACCCTACCAACCCCTCTGTCAAAAAAACGACAGCTGGTTCACCACCACTCCTTCCAACACAGTGCTCGCATCAGCACTTTCAGGTGCTGACTTGAAGTCAGCTGCGACCTTCCGGGCTTGATCAAGTTGCCAATTATCAAATTGTGGTATTGGGCTGGCATAAAAGCTGCATTGTTTTTTTGCACATGGGGCTTCTTATTGATTGGCACCTTGGTGCTCTCAGCGTCAGCGGAAGAATGCCCATGACCTTGATGCATCGCCGCCTCTCATTGCAAGATTGGGGGGCAGCAAAAAATACAAAGCACAACGTGTCATGAGATGACATCTTGTGATTCATTTTCTTAGGTCCAGGTGTGGTTGCGAAACATTCAGCCATCAAAATGGTGTGAGGACCAGCCCGAGTCAACAAATAGTGGTTAGAGGCTACAATGCGAACGCAATTCTCAAACCAGGCCTGGTCATATCCAACAAAATCACGGACCAACGCAGCATCTTGGCTGTCCTGAGCTATGAAATCTCGCGGGCTGTGCTGGGCTGTCGACACGGGCAAAAATACTCACCGATCTCACCGTTTGACACAAAAAAAAATGACCTTCACTTGCAAGCAAAAATCTGCCACTGAAAGGCCATGAGATTCAATCGGATCATCCTCATCATGATGATCAACAACTTCCCACGGTGAATCCTCGTCCTCTGGAAAACCGGAATGGCCGCATCCCTCCACTCCAGGGCCATACACTGCTCCCCACCATGACTGTATGGGGGTATCAGGAACCTTGCGCTTTCGATGCAGCAGCTCGGAATCATTGCCGTCGGCACTCATGGCACTCATGGCAAGAGAAGTGCCTGCCCTGAACCTAAATTGCCCCTCTCAGTCTTCATTCACATAGTAGTAGTTCGCTTTGCAAGCAAAAAAATTCAATGACTGAATCTGAATGGACAAAATCAAAAAAACTAAGCGTGCACCGCCAACTGTAAACACGCATGGCAGGCCAAACGAATAACTCGCCGGAAGCATGCGCCACCTCCAGGCAATCAATCTTCTAGGCATTGTCGCGGCATGAAAGTGAAGCATGCTAGCTTTCAAACATGATGATCAGGTTGGAAAATAGCTCAGGCCCCCACTTAGTGGTGAATTAATCAGCATCTTCGCGATCAGCAGCGGCCATGAGGTGAAAAGCCAATGCTGCACACTTAGGCAACACCATGTTACCTACCGCATGAAGCCTTGAAGCGTCTTGTTTATCATGGCTTTGAATTAGCCATTGGGACACACAAGGCCTGTTTCTCAGGTTGTGGCACTTGTTGGCCTCAGCGTGGATCTCAGCCTCTGTCATGAGCTTTGCATCCTGCAGCCGCTGATCTCTTCCAAAGATTTAATTGACTACTACCCGGAAAATTCAAACTTGGACAGTGGCGAGGGCTAAACAGTGATCGATGCCTGGAAGAAATCTCGGGCACAACTGCCACGTGTGGCCATGATGAAAACCCGCTGTCGATTGACCTACAGCATTTTGCAGCAGCAGCAACAATCCAGTCATAGAAAACTGCAATGATTAAGGGCCAGGCATGGAATCCAACATTGCGTCCAGACACGACGCACCACCGCACCCTGAATCCTCTCCTCAAGAGCGCCTGGGGCCATCAATTCAATGTAACTTTTCTTCACTGTCACTTGTCATGTAAAGTTGCACCAAAAAGTCACAAACATTGAGAAGGCCTCGATGACGTAGTTCCAAAGGCTCCTCAAACTGGGAGATAAGATGTTCTTCACGTTTTCAAGGAGAACCAGTTTCCTGAGATGGGGGAACCAAACCAATCCACTTGGCACTGGGCCGCCAGCAGCGCAAAAAACATGGGAAAAACACAAGCTCGCGCAAGCTTCATGTGAGGACATTTGTCGATGATGGCAAAGACTTCTTTTACTAATGCTGTTCGTTGGTCGTCAAGTCCAAGGCATGCTCCAGCAACAGATGCGCCCTTAGAGACGCTGCTGCAGCAAACTTTATTATGAACAACCCCGTCGTGTGAACTTCAAATTGGATGCAACCACACAGCAATGATAATGACGGCAACGGTGACTACTTCTGACTATATAAAGTTGTCTAAGTTGTGGACTTGACATGGAAACCCCCCTGTCAAGGCGGTTGCCAGGCGTTGAGTTTCAGCGTCGGGGGTGTAGCCGCAGACATCACTTACCAAACGGCCCTGTGGAATCAGTCCATCTCTCATGCGGCATTCCAGTATCTCCTGGCATTCATGGCTCTTCTCAACCTTAGGTTGCCAGCACATGGAAACCATTTGAATAAAAAATAAAATCATTGTGAAATCAAACTTCAGCGGTGACCCTTTGCCAACAAAACTTGAGCCCACCACATACACCATCGGAGAAATGAACCTGCTAGTAAAAGAACATGCACGGTTCCTGCAATTGAATTTCAAAAACAAATTACACACACGTTCAAAGGTAGTTGGTTCTGAACTAAAGAAACAAGTTGACACCAGCATCGACACTGGGGTGATGGCTCTGACAGTCCGAGTTCAAGAGCAGCAATTCCTGAGAAGAGCGAGATGCCCTTCATCTTTGGAGCTGCACCCTGGGCCAGGCATGGCAACAATTATATGCACCCGCTGTGTTTCATGCAGTCAGTCCATCATCTTTGAGAAACGAGCCTGGTCCATGGCCACATGAGGAAACCATTTCAAGAAGTTCTTGTGGCTCACAGCTCCGGGCTCTGCAAGAATCCAGTTTTCTGGGAGCCCTTGCGCGCTTTGATTTCTGAGCAATCATTGCAAACCAGACCGTGAGTCTTCACATGGAAAACCAATAGTAGCAGTAGCACAGTTGGGGGGCCTGTCATGAACTCTGCAAAATTCGGATTCAAGAACTTGCCGCGTGGGAGGTGAAGAGCTTTGACCGCACTCTTGTAAAAGTCCCAATGGTATAGCTGCGCTGGCAAATCCTGCAAAATCCAATCACCGCAAAAACAAAAACACTATTTAATAAGGTGCACATTCTATGTTGAAATGTCCCCTGCCTGGCGACCACGCACTGACAAATGCGTGGTTGTTGCCCGATGTGTCGCCCCGAAGCATCCTCAAAACACAGGGCAATAACAAGCCCTTCCAAAACAAAAGAACTGACGTGTTGTCAAGCAACTCACAGTGCCAAAGGAATTGCGGACTATTGGAGAAGTCTGCAACCGCTGCGTCTTGGAAGCCTTCACGGCCCGCTTCAAGTTCGGTGGCACCTTGCAACAAGCCAAATGGTTCTACCACCATCAACCTACATACAAAAACAAGATGGGAAAATTATGCTGTACACTGTTCAATGCTGTTCATGACAAGTCTCCAATTTCATATTCAACGGACCGCAATCAGGGGCGATGGGCCCCCAGTTCGGCTTGTACAGGGCCACTGTAGCTGGCCCCAACTTGGAATCCGTCAGCCCAAAGCTAGGGCAAGTCATCGTCTCAGGAAGTTCAAAAGCCTCAGCCCCATGCTAACACTAGGACGCATAATAACTTGAAGCCATAATCATTTTTGTGCAGCAATTCATGGCAAACTCAAGGTTTGACAGTTTTCACGTCAAGACCCTGAGATCAGAACCGAATCCCTTTTCCAGTCTGAAGTGGCCTCATCCGCAGAGGGCCTTGACGGCAGCAAGGACATGAAGCAAGGATTTTAAAACACAACCCCAGGCCAGACCGCTGCTCAGAGGTTATCCTGAGGCCAAAGCGACGGATCATCAGAGAGCCGTGACACACTCTTCTTCAACGACAAGCCGCCCATCGCTCACAGGTAACAGTGGCGTGTTCAAAAATGAAAAAACTGTTCGCAAAAAATTGGGCATGGAACCCTGTTCTGCTGGAAATGTTTGTGAATGGGTCCTTTGCGGCCTCAAGCCAAGCAAATCGAGGCCAGGCAGAAACCAACATCACAGCGACACACTGCGGTCCAAAAATTTCCCTTCGCACAGCCATGAATTTCACCTAGTACTGTGGCGTGTTCAAAAAGAAAAAACTGTTGGCCAAAAATTCGAGCATGGAACCCTGTTCTGCCGGAAATGTGTTGTGACTGGGTCCTTGGCAGAAACCAGCGTCACAGCGACACACTGCAGTCCAAAAATTTCCCTTCGCACAGCCATGAATTTCACCTACTAGTACTGTTTACTAATTAATAGTCTGACTGGGGATCCTTGGAAAACAATAATGAAACAAATTTAATACTCCTTCCACCTGATTATTAATCACCAAATAATCACTTCGAGTGATCCCCACCAACTGCGCTTGCACGCATGCGCAAGGGTACAATAAAGTTCCATCCTCAACCCGTTTAAAGGCAGCCGTCTTTAATTCCCATGGCAATATG